GCTGAGAAAAATAATTACATAATTAGCGGGGATTGATCAAGTGCAATGTTGTAGGTATTTTAAATACTGCCTTTTATTTATTTTATACACTGAACGTACTGTTTACTAATTATTTGTTTTAAATCAATTACAGATACGAAGCCAGCGCCTAAATGTCCTCTATGTTTTCTTCTTTCCTTTTGATAATAAGCTTGGGGTATCATAATTGTTCACTAAATTGCCCCCCGGCAGAGTTCAATTTGGCGCCCCGGGCCATCCCCCGTGTTCGCCATAGCGCCTACGTTCGTTTAAGTGAGTGCAAAAGACTATGAATAAGTTGGTGTACTATAGTCGTTTATTAAGCTGAAACAGGCGGTCCCGCCGGCGCCCCAGCATGGCACAATTTTGGGCCCCGGGCTAGACTTTGACCACTTGGCGTTTATACTTGCGTTTGTTTTTTCTTTGAATTTGGGTTGGGTTTGCGGTTGTGGTTGGGTTTGTGTTTGCGTTTGGATTTGGTTTGTATTCGTTTTCGTTTTCTTTTTTGTTTGCGTTTGTGTTTGTGTTATCTTTGTGTTTGTTTTCGAGGTTTGTGGTTGGGTTTGTGTTTGCGTTTGTGTTATGTTTGCGTTTTTTGTGTTTTGGTTTTGGTCGGTTGTGGTTAGGGTGGGTAATGCCGGGTATATGCTGATTACTAAACACACATGTCATGGTCCTTTAAAGATAGGTTTTTTCACAGAGGCCAGTGCAGGGCCTGGCCGGGTCGGCTAGTATAAAGATCAAATGGATACACAATAATTATGAGTCGGCTATATTTATTTTCGATCGTAGGACGACCTGACCATCCCACAACAGATGAGGGAACTGAGTGTGACCCTCAATGATTACCCCAGGGGAATCAAACAAAGCCTGGGTCACGCAATGTCTGATATGATGACGCAATGCACATTTGATTCAGTACGTATAATTACAGATATATATATATATATATATATATATATATATATATATATATATATATATATATATATATATATATATATATATATATATATATCCACATCAACTGTACTCATGTATTTGTAATGTCATAATTGAAATTTTTCTTAACCACTTAGGGGTCGTCCATAAATGACGTCACCCTCATAGGGGGAGTGGGGGGTATGTAATTTTGTGACGGTGTGTGATGAGAGGGGGGGGAGGGGTTCAGAGAGTTTGACATCACACTTTTGCATTTTATAAAATGAATTTTACAAAACGAGTTTTAGCCGTTATTTCGCGTTTTAGAAAACTGTTAATAAATTGTAATAGGAATTGATGAAAATACTCTTGAGTTCAGACAAGATTTTGGAAAAAATATAATATCTATGTTTTAAGAAAAAATTCAACAGCAATTTTGACTTCATTTTAGGGGTGGTGGTCAGGCTTTTTATGACGACATGTGACGGAGGGGAGGGGGGAGGTAAAAATCGTTTTAAAAGCGTGACGTCATTTATGGATGACCCCATTAATGCCTGAATTTTTTTTCAGCCGTGTAAAACTTAATTAACTATGCTTTCTTTTTTAAATTTAAAAGAATTTCTTTTATTTATTTTAACCACAGGATGCCTGTGACTCCACCAACTTTAAGCTGGACACCTTCATCAACAACGGAAACTGTTACACGTTTGGCGACAAGACAGCGAAACCATCAGTTTCATGGTAATTCTTGTAGGCCTACTCTATCATTTTCAATGCCCAGTGTAGCGTGGGCCGTTTACATTATCCTTCCATTCTGCATTATGATATGATTTTTTCCATTTCTTTTCAGCTCTTTCTAAAACTTTTTTATGTTTGTTTTAGTTTCAATTCGTTCGGCAGATGGGTTTGGGTCTCATGCTAATTAAGTTTTAATAACCTTTCATATAATTTCTATTTACATTTTTTTAGGCATGTTAAAAAAGCAGGACCAGCAAATGGCCTGATCCTAGAACTGGACATCGAGCAGGACGAGTACCTGCCAATAACAGAAAAAGCAGGGATAAAGGTCTTGTTACATTCTGGCTCTGAGATCGTCTTCCCTGATAACACTGGCATCCTGGCAGCGCCGGGATATGTTACTAGTATTGGAGTTAAAAAGGTTTGTAATTGATATTTATATATTACATAAGTATATCTGGCATGGTGATATGGTGATGAGGTAATTACTTTAGATTTAAGTCCTGCTTGTATGTCTGACTTGGTGTATGGGATTAGGGTGTGGCTATCTAGAGATAGTGTATGTGAAATGTGTGCAATGATATGTTTTAAATGTGTGTATATGAAAAAATAACTTTTGTTATGTGAGTGTATTGGAATTTTGAGGCTCAATTCACTATTAGTGTTTGATATGATCATTGTATTGTAAACATTCGTCTTTTCAGTCAGAAATCTACATGCTACCACAGCCTTACGGCAACTGTATCAGCGCAGACAACGCCACCAACGAAATCAAAAACCTGTACCAACAGCTCGGCTACACCTACACAAAAGACGCCTGTCTAAGAACTTGTCTGCAGAAACGTATCTTCGAATCCTGTCGATGTATAGACCTAGACCTTGCCAACATGGTTCGTGTACTCAACTACAACGACTGGTTAGATTTGGACAACACGAAATCTCTTCAAATATGCGACAAGACGATGGCTGACTGCATGGATACAGTACAAGAAAAGTTTGAGAAACATGAGCTAGGGTGCGAGGAAATGTGTCTGCCGGCATGTACTCAAAAGTTGTATCAGACAACCGTGTCGACTGCCGTGTGGCCGGCAGACCGGCATTTGGACCGGTACGTCAAATTCGTCAACAAAACTTTCGCGAAGAAAAATACTGTCTACAACTGGACAAGTCATCCCCACGAACATATACGTAAAAATTTCTTAAGACTTGAGATTTACTACGAAACACTTCGATACGAGGTGATATCTACATCACCGACGTACGATTGGAATAATCTCCTAGGCAACATAGGCGGCCAACTGGGATTATGGCTAGGGTTCTCTGTTCTTACTGCCATAGAAGTCTGCCAGTTCACAATGCAAGTTCTGATCCATCTCTTCAAAACTCATTATAAAAGCTTTAGGAAATCTAAAAAAAGAGACCCATGTAACAACACAATTGATATACCATTACCTTCTGGATCAACACTTGTTTAAAAACGTCTATTTGATGTTTTTTTTTTTACGAAAACCAGCATTTATATCTAACGTGATTCCCACATATCTGGATATCTAACAAGGTTTATAATCTAGGCTTCGTTATATTACATTATGGTTTCGACCAAGATGCTCTGTGATCATAACTTTCTAACGATGTTTTATTCATTTCTGTGGCGACAATTACTTAACATCAAATAATTTAAGTTGTTCAATATTGGATTATTATATATGGTATAGGATACGTATGTTTTGGAATTCAGTATAGAATGGAACCGTGTGATGTACAGAAACCATCTTGCAAGTACAATCATAATTTATACTTTTTATATTATGTATTGTTGCTAATTACAACTTTATTTTTGAAATTAACACCTACTTATTTTATATACAATCTTTAGCAATATTAAAGTTTTATAAAAGGAACAGTAAAGTATATTATCTGAGAAAAAAAATACGTTAACATATTAACATAGCAATACCATTGCAATGGTACACACGACATATAATTCTAAACTACAACACACCATCCCCGAACATACCACACCACACAATAAGACAGCAGACCACGCCATACCACACCACACTACATTTTTCTTATAAGCAAAACATTAACGACACTACTAGGGAAATATTCAGAAAGGCTGTTTAACTTCAAGTTAATCTATAACTCTTGATTTAACGTTTATGTTTTGCATTATTTTGTTTAGATATTAAAATAAGTACATATGTATGCATTCATTACAAAAAACACAAATTTTACAATATGTTTTTTACAGGTGAATTGTTCTCATTTTACGAACTGTTATTACTTTTTAATACACCGAATTAATTTTAAAAAAAATCTATGTATGAAGTATGTAATTTTTAATGATCGTATGTTTTTATGTAGTCGACTTAGCATATTTTAATTTAGTTTAGTCTGATTTTAGCATCTGAAAATGTGTTTTTAGCTGCAGACCGTGAAAAGTGTATTATCACAAATCTGCTTGTCTCCCTCTAATTTTCCCTTTAATTTGAGACAGTTTGTAGAATGTAGTTTCTGTTCTAGATATACCACCATGGCTGTGTTTCAGAGGCGTAGCGACCCTTCCCGGCAACCGGGGACAAACTTTCAATTTGCACCCCCCCCTCAAGCTTTCGATTTGCACCCCCCCCCCCCTCAAGCTTTCGATTTGCATCCCCCTTCAAACTTTCGATTTGCCCCCCCCCCCTCCCCTCAAGCTTTCGATTTGCACCCCCCTCAACCTTGCCATTTATTTTTCCAACCCATTTTGGCGCCCCCTAAGGTCGGCGCCCGGGGACATGTGTCTCCATCACCCGCCATCCCCCCCCCCCCCCCTCGCTACGCCTCTGCTGTGTTTATTTAGTATAATTGATAGTGCTATTTTATGTAGAATAAATATTTTTTTTACAATATGAAATGTCATGCTTTAATTTTATTTATTGACTACAATAATGTGCTGTTTCCTGCCGATTTAACATACTAGATTGTATCTGCCATACTCCCAAGCAATCGCTAAATTATTGCATTTGAAAAAAATTGTTTCTTTTTAAAACTGTCAATTCTAAAACAATTAGTGGATTTAATATATGTATTGTAGAGCGGCGTGGCCTTGCAGTAGAGCGCTTGAATTCGAATTCGGGTTCAAGTCAGTGGATATTCCCTGAGTCCACCCATCTATGATGGGTACATGACTCATGCTAGGGACAGTAATGGTGGCTGGGCACAGTGATGACTAAATCATCACAAATCACATCATATGCCGAGGTCAAGAAACACTACAACAAAGATTCCTCTTTAGACCTAGCGATCCATTGGGCAGATAGAGTTCATATGTCTGTATACATTATATTACGGTAAATTCTTAAGTCTAAAAACATCTCTAAACATGTTAGTCCCCTTCTACGCGTTATTCTGAAAACTACCGCGTGAAATTTAAAAAAAAAACAATGTAAGATAACTCTAAGGACTAAGAGTAAAAACATTTTCACGGTTATCCCCCGTCAATTGTAATCACGAGTTCTTAGTTTTATGAGGTAGCACTATAACCCACACTTCTGCAGAAAATGGGGAAGGGGGGGGGGGGGTAGCGTTTTCGATAGAGAGATCACATAGTTGTTGATTCCAGTTTTCGTAAACATGTCAAATAAGGCTCGTTAGCTGGGGACACAACACTAGTATAACGGAGGGGAGCCACAGCCATAGTAGAGGGGAGCCACAGTCCTAGTAGAGCCGAGCCACAGTCATAGTAGAGCCGAGCCACAGCCGAAGTAGAGGGGAGCCACATCTTTAGTAGAGGGGAGCCACATCTTTAGTAGAGGGTAGCCACAGTCCTAGTAGAGGGGAGCCACATCCCTAGTAGAGGGGAGCCACATCTTTAGTAGAGGGGAGCCACATCTTTAGTAGAGGGGAGCCACATCACTAGTAGAGGGGAGCCACATCCCTAGTAAATGTGAGCCAGAGCCCTAGTTCACCAGAGGGGTGCCACTTCCCTAGTAAAGAGGAGCCATAGTCCTAGTAGAGTGGAGCCACGGCCCTAGCACCAAAGAGGGGAGCCACAGCCTTCGCACCACAGAGGGGAGCCACAGTCCTAGTTCAAAAGAGGGGAGCCATAACACTAACATAAAGAGTGGAGCCACAGACCAAGTAAAGAGGAGCCATAGCCCTTAGCACCACAGAAAAGAGCCACAGCCCTAGCGCCACAGAGGGGAGCCACAGCCCTAGCACCACAGAGGGGAGCCACAGCAGTAGCACCACAGAGGGGAGCCACAGCCCTAGCACCACAGAGGGGAGCCACAGCAGTAGCACCACAGAGGGGAGCCACAGCCCTAGCACCACAGAAGGGAGCCATAGCCCTAGCACCACAGAGGGGAGCCACAGCAGTAGCACCACAGAAGGGAGCCACATCAGTAGCGCCACAGAGGGGAGCCACAGCCCTAGCGCCACAGAGGGGAGCCACAGCCCTAGCACCACAGAAGGGAGACACAGCCTAGCACCACATAGGGGAGCCCTAGCCCTAGCGCACCAGAGGGGAGCCACAGCCCTAGCACCACAGAAGGGAGCCACAGCCTAGCACCACATAGGGGAGCCATAGCCCTAGTTCACTAGAGGGGAGCCACAGCCAAAGTACCACATAGAGGAGCCACACAGTATCGAGCGTTGACCTAGGACGAACGTGAATGTTTCAAACGATGTTCCAACGCGTGCTAAAGAAAGCCGTGTTAAACAGCCCATCGTGTGCAGTCAAGCGTGATTCCGACCCCAAGACTAGGTCACCATGAAACGCAGAATCGTATGTTCTCCGTTCTTGATCCCTGGCAGTGGTCCTGTTCATATTGAGAAACGTTCATAAAATGTGTACATGCATATTTTACACTTTCCAATTCAATGAAAGCAATGTTTATCTAGAAATTTCGGATGTCCTCGATTTCGAGCCTGTGGTTAAAACAGCTTAGCAAATGCAACTAGTCATAGAAATATGGGAAGAATTAATTATATTCGGATAAAATAAAATTAGATTGATATCAAATAATGTTCCGAAAGCATTAACTAAAGAAAAAAAGTGTGCAGAATTGTTACATTGTAATCTTGAATGAAAAAAAAAGAAAAAAAAATCTTTTATAAAGTTGGTATAAACCAAAGCAATGTGAGAACCGTTGTCTCATATCCATGAAACGAAAGTACATAAATGAAATATTTTAACACAGGTCTCCCTGTAGAACTTTTTAAACAACGAATTCTATTGAGTTAGCATTTTACCTTACGTAATCGCAAGGAAATACATTTGATAATAGTTTGATGACACGGGCGGCTGTCAGCTCATAGTTTAACTGTCCTCAATATAAAACCAATATAACAAGCATCGGGATATTAAAAGGAAATAAATTCATGGTAAATATATACCCGTGTATCACAAAAAAGTTTTACCGATTTTTGAAGAGAAAATATGATAGTTCTTCTTGACTCTCTTGTTTGTTATTTCAGAAGTGTGTTAAATACACATTTTGTATTACATAACTAGGCTATACAGTTTAATAAAATAAAAAATGTAACATTAAATTTTGATGATGATTTTCGGTTTTTAATTATATCTTAAGTTAAAAATAAGTAGGCCTATTTGTTTTTTTTGTTTTTTTTTAAATTAAACCTACGAGCCGGCCCGCGGCATAACATACGCCGCTATTTAGTTGTTTCTAATTTTCAATAATTCATAATTTGTGAATTCGACAGTACCAACGCTGACACTGAAAATATTTCTTTAAAACACTATAAGTAGCTCGTTAAGGACCATAACCCCCCCCCTTCCTTCCCTCCCCCCCCCCCCCCTCCTCCCCCCCCCCTACGTTTAAAATCGTTGGCTCTGCTTGTAAACATTTAGAGTGAACACAGCTCACTAAAACCATGTAGGGGTGGGGAGGTAGGGAGAGCGTTTGCAGCTTGTTTTCTAACGGCTCGAAGAAGAGAATTATATATATAGATAGATACTAAGCGTCGCTAAACGATTTGTAGTGTATACAAAAAGTTAGACAACTATAATCAGATATAATAATTTGATTGGTTACCGAGGTTCGACTATTAGAAACATTTATGTAATGGTTTTTAAAGTAGACTGTCACGGTCTACTGATTCTTACTGGTCCACTTAACCTGTTTCTGAGTTTCAGCCTTGAGAGTCAGTGCTAGCCATGTGACTTTTGTGTGACAAAGATGAAAAGGGGGTCACATACAATAGCATTGGTGGTGTACCCAAAATTACAACAAGGAGCCAACCCGCGGCATATCATACGCCGCTATTTAGTTGTTTTTTTTTCTACTTTTCAGTTATTCATAATTTGTGAATTCGACACTACCAACGCTGCCACTGAAAATATTTCTTTAAAACACTATAAGTAGCTCGTTAAGGACAATAACCCCCCCCCCCTCATTCCCACCCTCCTCCCCCCTCCGTTAAAGTAAACTCCACTTAGTTACCCCCCCCCCCCCACGTTTAAAATCGTTTCAAACTAA